AATAGGCTAGTGTCATTTCGAAATTACAGAAAAACACAAACCGTGGTAAAAACAACACACGGAATAAAACAAACGGCTCGCGATTAGAATGAACAGCAAATCAGCCAGCAGAGGATCAATAATAACATTTTTGTAAGTGGCTCGACTTTCATACCTGTTAAGTTTCATGCCAGTACTCTCTCTCTCTCTCTCTCTCTCTCTCTCTGTGTGTGTGTTAAAGAGCCGCTGAGCTAACAGCTGACTGGCCGGGAACGCACACACTCTGGCTGTTTCTCAATATGCGTTCTTCAGCGGTCTTGCGTCCTCGTGCTCTCGTGAAACGTCATCATCAGCTGCCTAAGTTCAGTTCCAATACTCCAGACCGCAAGTACGGAGGACACGTGAAACTTCCCGGATGTGATCTTGATATCGAGGATGCACCGATGCAGACTTGAGCACCGAACTCGCTCTGGAAGTCCCAGAAGTCATTGCGACTGGAGGTGGGAAGCGCTGGATTTTATTTAGATTTATTATTAAAGTTCATAGATATGAATTATTTACCTCAGGAGTTTCCCTAAATGAAACGGTGAAAGTAAACATTACCATGGACATCTTTATAAAGGAATAAACACATTAAGGGTGTTTGTTTGCTGAAATTCGTATTAAAATCTGTTTTATTTATATTGTGCAGAGCATATTTATAATGTTTTTATGCAAAGTATATATTTTGAAAAGGGGAAAAACAAATCGTCGTATGAAGGCTGTAATGTTTAAATAATTTACCATTTAAAACACGTGAAGGTCATGTGACCATCAGGAAGAACGCAGCATCTCAATTCTCAAAGGACGCGTTCTCCGCCCTCGCGGTCTCCTGAGTTCGTTCTTCCGAGGACACCTGGCAAGACCGCTCTCCACAAGAAAGCAAATCCGTTCTCTGCGTTCTTGGAATTGAGAAACAGCCACACTGTATTTCTGACGGCAGACACGTGAACTAGGAGAAAGTTTGTCTCGTATTTCTGACGCGCTTGAACCACACGTGACAGATTATAACGGCTTTAACAGACACATTTCTAAGTCGCGTGTCACAAAAACACTCTGTTATCCATTAAAAACGCTATTGAAACCCATTTTCAGAGCGCAAATTACCAGTTGTACACGCTGTGAACGCAAGTTTTTAGCATTCTACTGGAAGACGCTGGTCGCTATGGCGCCCTCCATGCAGCAGCCGTGAAAAAGGTCTATAATGAAAGCATTCGACTACTTTATTAACTGTTTGTGCTCATTTAAGAGAAAATTAGTAGTGACCCTCTCAAGGCAGGCGTTGCTGATTTGCAACAGTTAATATTTAACTACCTTATTACTCCAGATGCATATTTCATGAGTTTTTCTACTCAGAAGTACCACTGCAGGACTTGGTTGTCCATTAGCAACAAACAGTTTCCCCACTTGCTCAACAGATGACACAAAAGACGAAAACTGTATCTTGGAGTACCACATGACAAAGTGACTTGGAAACATGACCTACTCAATGAGGATTTGAGATATTGGATTTGGATCCCATATTGTTTTTGTTGTTGTTCCGCCACTAAAAGTGCAATTTGTTACATTGTTTGAAAAGTTGTATATATAAAGTTATTGTTCATATCATATTCAGTTCGTCAGTGTCTAATCACCACACTGGGCCAATGTTGCAAATCTGCAACATCTCAGAACGCCTTGCATGTGAAAGTCTCTGGCTGTTTCTCAATATGCGTTCTTCAGCGGTCTTGCGTCCTCGTGCTCTCGTGCAACGTCATCCTCAGCTGCCTAAGTTCAGTTCCAATACTCAAGACCGCAAGTACGGAGGACGCGTGAAACTTCCCGGATGTGATCTTGATATCGAGGACGCACCGATGCAGACTTGAGCACCGAACTCGCTCTGGAAGTCCCAGAAGTCATTGCGACTGGAGATGGGAAGCGCAGCATTTTATATTAATTTATTATTAAAGTTCAGAGATATCACTTATTTACCTCAGGAGTTTCCCTAAATGAAACGGTGAAAGTAAACATTACCATGGACATCTTAATAAATTAATAAACACATTAAGGGTGTTTGTTTGCTGAAATTCGTATTAAAATCTGTTTTATTTATATTGTGCAACATATATTTATAATGTTTTTATGCAAAGTATATATTTTGAAGAGGGGGAAAACAATAAATAGTTGTATGAGTGCTGTCATGTTTAAATAATTTACCATATAAAACGCGTGAAGGTCATGTGACCATCAGGAAGAACGCAGCGTCCCATTTCTCAAAGGATGCGTTCTCTGTCCTCGCGGTTTCCTGAGTTCGTTCTTCCGAGGACACCTGTTAAGACCGGTCTCCACAAGAACACAAGTCCATTCTCTGCGTTCTTGGAATTGAGAAACAGCATCTCTTAAAAAAAAAAAAAAGTCAGGATTCTATTGTACTACCCCATATGATAATTTTCCCTAAACATCAGATTTTTCCTGTTTCTAAAACTTCATTTGAGCCTGAGAAGGTTAAAATAAAACACGCAGGACGAAGCAAAACGGAAAAAAAAGAAGCACTTTTTCGACGGTCCCTTACTGAGAGCTCCTCTCAGCGCGAGTTCTACCGGCTAAACGCAGATTGCGAGGGCTCAAACGGTGCAGTGCTCGTAAAGTCGAGCGAAACATAACCAGCTTTGTCTTTTTGTAGGAAACACACTTTAGATATCTTTAGGGTAAGAGGTTTTTCAGTTATTGCCGTCAATCGTACTGGTTTTGATTCGCCGCAATGTAAATATAGCTGCAGCAGGCCTGTAGCCAGCCTGGTGAAAGGGGTGGCTATTTTTTTCTCAAAAAGTGGACCTTTTTGCAGTTATACGCCTCAGTTTTTATTTAACTATAAGATTTAAATACTGCATTTTAGTGACTTTTTTGCTGGATTAGCTAGTCAGATTTTATCACAACCACACTTTTTTGATGTACTAAAATATTTCCTTAAAATTTCAATAATAATTAATAATAATAATAATAAAAAACTAATTACATCATATATCAATAGGAGAAAATAGCAATGTGTTAAAGTCCTAAAGTAAAAGAAAGTGTCTACTATAACTTATTAGACAAAAAAAAACAAACTAGCCAGCACATTCAACTGTCACAATTTGTACATTTCAATAAAATTAAAAAAATAAAACATAATAATAATAATACAATATTAATTCATTCTTCAGATTTTTTCTAGCCTCTTTGGTTAAAAAGCATAAAGCCTTATTCAATTTATAATTTTCATTATTTATGATGGCATAGCAGTTAAAAAGGACGAAAATATGACAAATGAGCTCATATTTGGGACAAATTTTGGACCTTTGTCAGTGAGGGGTGGGTCTTTCGAACCACCCGAACCTTCCTGGCTACAGGCCTGAAACGTTAGAACACGTTTTATGCTTATAGTAAATGTTTAATAGAATTTTGGCTGTAAAAGCGCATCTACAGGTGTTTCAGGCGCAGGTCAGACGTGACAGGATTAGCGCCTTTTGCTGTGAAGTGACACCTGATGGCTGAGGACTCCGCTTGCCATTAAAGCCTTCGTCGGACAGTTATTAAAAAAATAATGGTCGTTAAATTAGGTCGTGTACAGGACAAGTCAATAAACATACAGGACGTCCCGGCTAATGCGGCCAGTTAGCCTATGGATAGATTTTCATCTGTTAGGAAGTTAGTAACTTTTGCCTTAACGTTACCCTTGTTGGCAGTCTTGTTGAACATATTTTGCGATGATGACGCCGCTGCCTGCCTTTTCTGCCTTGCTCTTTTCGACCAACACCGTTACTCAAGTATCCATGTCGCATCATTCAAATGTTACCACTCAGTGGGTTTTCACGTGAATCACGTCACATTATTGAGCCTTCGAGGCTTTTTGGGATTCAAATTACTGGCCAGTATTTAAAATTAAACTTTATTACAACACATACTGAATATAAATATATTAGATTAATTATATAACAAATATATTATATAATATTCAATTACATAAAATAATTAAAGGGACAAATTCTGGACGTTTTGGCTGTGGGGGGTGGTTCGTTCGAACCACTCGAACTCCCCCCTGGCTACGGGCATGTGCAGTTATGTGACGTTGCGCAACCCACCTTTGTTGACTGTGCGACCCACAGTTTGAAAACCCCTGATCTAATGTACCCAGACTTTAGCACGTAGCTTTGATGCTAAATGATTATTGCAATGACTACAGGACATCTCTGTCACTGCTCTGGTTTGAATCAACGAGATCTTCTTCAGTCTTTTCCACAGTTGTAGTCTACTCACTCGCTTTCCCTCAACTTAATCCCTGCTTCATCTGGGGTCGCCATGGAAGAATGAACTGCCAAACTACTCTGGTACATGTTTTACCAGCGAATGCCCTACCTGCTGCAACTCGGGAAACACCCACACATTCACACACTGCAGCCAATTAAGTTGATCCAATTCAAATATATTGCTTGTCTATGGACTTTAAAGCACACTAAAGGATGCAGGAAAAAGCATAAACACGGGGAGAACATGCAAATACCGCAAAGAAAGGCCTTCTGGTCCAGCCGGGACGTGAACCAGTGACACTCATGCTAACCACTTAGCCTCCATGCTGCAACATAGTGTTTCTAGGGACAGATTTTCAATCAAGTTTAGGTCAGGACCGTAGGCTGACCATTTCGTTATTTTAATATTTTCAGCTTTGCTTATTCTGCTATGTTATTGTCTTGCATGACAATTGCTGGCCTTGAAATTAATTTTCAGAATATCACTCTGTCTTGATTTGGGTTTGTATCCGTTCAGAATGTAACCACTATGCGCTTCAGTCTCGGTGTGTTATCAAGTGAATTCGCACGGCTTGTTCCAGTCAAGTCCACAGCTGTGCAGGATATGATATATTTGCCCAGAAACACGCCTATCAATCCCTTCAGCTCTCGCAGTACGTCTGTGTGCGATTACCTCATAAACAAAGCTTGATTTATGGCCTCCCACAGGTGTTTGCTCGGATGTGGGTGGACTTTGGGGTCAGTGAACAAAGTGCATGCGGGACTGCGCAATGACTGCCCTTTTCTTTGAATAAGAGCTTCTTTAACTCTTATGGACATTTTTATTTTAGCATAGGGAAATATATAGAAATATCTGCCGTTACCGATGGATTACACTTGAGGTGCTCTTAGTAATGTGGGCTGAAATCAACACCGACATTCTGGAGTGAAAGGTAAGATTCAGTTTGTTGCTATTAACCGAAAAGACGGAGGAAACATCTCTACTGAAATCTGTCTAAACGGATTAGTAGCTTAATTAAGTTTTGTACGTTTCTGTTGCCGGTAAGTTTATTGTGTATCCCAGGATGTAGCAAGGATTTTAGGCATCTAATATGCTAACGTATGTTACGTTTCTGTTCGTGAGATGTGTATGCAAAGTTTGTCAGATCATCTAAAATGGCTGCCGTAGTTGCGTATGCTGCTGAAAAATCCAGCTTAAACCAGCCTAGGCTGGTTTAAGCTGTTTTGTTCAGTAGGGAAATGCAACCAAATGAACAACAGTGTCATATTATGAGGTATATGAAGTATAAATCCAAGTCTATTCGGTGTTGGATGATAATAATTGTTAAAAAAAAAAAAGGTAACCAGTGTTGTGTGCTCGACACAGACATGCGACCGACTTTTCCAGATTCTCCGAAATGGAGAAAGGTGTTTAGATTGGTATTTGGGTCAGTTCTTGCTATCTCTCCATGTCTAAGATACAGCCTTGTCCCTTGTCCACAGGGCTTTTACGGTAGTGCGCACGTTAAATGTAATTCAGAAGCGAACCCAATGGACGTTCTTGGAGAAAACGAGGCCCTGCAGCAGTTCTTCAGTGGTAAGACAACTAAATAACGTTCACCTGCTTTGTTTAACCGATGGCCCTCCTGGTTTCATATGATAGCTGACTAATCATTTTCAATTAAATTGAATATTCATGAGCAATTTAAAGGCACAATATGTGAGATTTTTTTGAATTAGTTGTTAATATGTTAAATAATTAATATGTTCTTGCATTGTGCCGAAGGTTTTGAAGGATGTTTAAATCAAGCAGCTTTAAGTAGTGAGATGGAGTGTGTGTTGTCATAATAAAAGCGTCAGCAGCATAGCTTCAGCGTTTCTCTCGTTTCACTTCCACGGCTTTCAGCCTAACTCCGCTTCATACTATCATGATAATAAGTGTTGAACACTTTACTCATCATCAACATGATTTCTGCAGGAGTCCTGCATAATAAACCACGACTCCCACACTTAGTTATGTCGTTGTCAAAGTGCGCCTTTGTTTGTTGTGAATATGCGCACTCTAGTGGAGAAAATGCCACACTGTGCCTTTAAACAATGCGCATTATAAATACTGTACAAACCATTTCACTCAAACAATTACTAGAAATGCGGTATTGTGTGGAGTTTGGCCTTCATGGCACTCCCAATCACTATAGTAATGCAGTGTAGCGTAATCTGTACAGTGTGAAGGTGCAGTTTACACACGATAGTTCAAGGCCATGGATCTATAAAATCAGTCAGAAGCTCAGACAGATCAAGGACCCATAACGTGAATATACAGTTAAGGTCAGAATCATTAGCCTCACATTGAATTTTCTTTTTTAAATATTTCCCAAATGATGTTGAACAGATTCAGGAAATGTTCACAGTATGTCTGATAATATTTTTTCTTCCAGAAAAAGTCTTTTTTAATTTTTTAAAAGACGTTTTAATATTATTTGGTCAATATTATCAGCCCCTTTAAGCTACATATTTTTTCTCGATAGTCTACAAAGCAAACCATCGTTATACAATAACTTGCCTAATTACCCTAACCTGCCTAGTTAACCTAGTTAAGCCTTTAAATGTCACTTTAAGCTGTATAGAAGTGTCTTGAAAATATTATTTATTGTCATCATGGAAAAGATAAAATAAATCAGTTATTAGAAATGACCTATTAAAACTATTATGATTAGAAATGTGTTGAAATCTGCTCTCCGTTAAACAAAATCTGAGGGGGGAAAAAAACTGGGGCTAATAATTCTGACTTCAACTATATGTTCCCCCCCGCTGTTCCTGACTTGAACTCTGAAGATGAAACATTTGTATTGTCTATATAAAATCCATCGCAAATGAATCTTAATCTTGTACTGAATGTTGTGTTTGGTTGTCTTTCAGTCTGCTTTGTCCTGTGGAGAATCTTCCCCTCCATTCTCCTTAATCCTGTTAGACCGACAGAAATCATCTGATTTTAAAACTGCTTGTCCTGTCTGAGATGACTCTGGTTTTTTTGATCTACTGATGTTCTTTGCGGCATTGTTGTTGAGCATATTTAGGGTGTTTGTTTGGATTGTCAGTAGGTATTTATTTATTGCAGCCTTCTGTCTGCCTGGGCAAAACCTAAATGGGAGACCTCAAGGGAAAACTAGTTTGCTGCTGGAAGAGGTGATAGTGAGGCCAGTGGGTGGTGCTCAGGCTGTTGTTGTGTGGTTCCCAGTGCCTCAGTTTAGTGACAATATACTGATGCCCTGACTCGTGTGGTCATTAATGCCACAATGAAATAAAAACTTACTCTTATTACTATATATATATATATATATACACATAAACATACATATATATATATATATATATATATATATATATATATATATATATATATATATATATATATATATATATATGTGTATGTATGGATGTATGGATGTATGTGTATATATGTTTGTGTCTATATGTGTATATATATATATATATATATATATATATATATATATATATATGTGTGTGTGTGTGTGTGTATATATATATCTAGCGTTATTATTGTTCACCAGTCCACGTTCATATCGCCTCCGGGCATCTTCTTCAATGTGCGCTCGCATTGACAGTTTTGCGCTTGAGCGCCTCCAAGTGCTGTTTACTGTAACTGCAGCCGCTCATTGCACCTGAACAAAAGTGCCAATCTGATTGGAGGAAAAGGTTTAGACGCGGCGCGTCAAAACAAAAAAACGAGCATGAGGTGTTTCTTTAAAGTTACGATTTTACGCTTGCCGGTTTGCGCGTTGGTGTGCGATCACATTAGCGCCCTTTATTTAGTCATGTTATTGAACGTCGACGGAAAACACGAGCAAAAAGCGTCCTGGTGTGCACGGGGCTTAACAATAGCATAGCTTACAATGATGAAACTCGCAAAACAAGCAGCTTCCTAGTGGTTAACAAAGAAAAAATATGTGGCCAACTTGAAAAAAAGCCAAATCTGCGTGGATGGAATGGATGATTTTATTGAGAATGTCTTCACTTTTGTTGTAGATGATCAAACGGCCTATGGATTTAGAATGACCAGGGGGTTTTGGATGAAATATCAAAATCTGACTGCTCTCAGATTTCTTTTAAAGCACAATACTGCCTTCTCTGGTGCATCAGGAAAAGGAAACTCTACCTGATCCTGAGATTTTTTTATCACGTCAATGAATTTCATCGCATTCATTGACATTTGACACGAGAAAGAATTGTGACTTGTTTTTGCCATCAGGACAAGATGTGAGTGGTGTGTTGGAGAGTGCTGTGGTAGACACCAGTATTCTGGAGCAGTATTTGAGCAATGAGACAGATCCCACTTTGTGAGTTTCTACAAATAAAAATCGACACAACATGGTTATCCGATGTCTTTAGCACTGATTTTGCTTCTTTCTCAGCATCTTACCTGAATCACCACCCGATTCTGCATCAGAACGTAGTTCACCACCGCAAATTCGAGGTGATGTCTTCTCTAATAATACATTCCATCGTACAACGCATTTGTTGAAGCCATTAAACCGTATTTCTGTCCACAAGATTCCCGATGGTCCACTGAACAATGCAGCCAGGATGCATATAGCATATCAGCAGCCGCCTTCCCACCACCCTGTCCCTTCAAAGACCGAAAACAAGATCACTGTGAAGGTTCTGGACACGTGTATGACGTTGGCAGAAACTTGGGGACTCATATCAAGGCTATTTCTCCTGCTTTGGTCTCTCAGAACAGTGTAAACGCAACTACAGAAGCAACCACATGCAAGTATGCACCCATCCCTGCTGTCCCCCAGTATACCCAGTGCCTATCAACAGCTCATCCAGCAGGACATTTGCCCGCGAATGCTGTTGCGGCCTCCTCATGTATGCCCCATGCTTCTCTCCCAGCGACTGTGTACCATTATATGCCTCCAAAACACAACCAGCATGAAGGGTAAGGATGACAGTGCTGTTTTCCTTCGTTATGCCATTTCTTCATTGTGTTCACAGTGTGATTTGCTTGCTTTAACAGGAATAGTTTTCACGAAAACAAGAAAAGAAGAAGGTCAAACTCTTTCGAGGGGCACCCGGAGCAGTCCACAGACCCAGTATGGGACAAACCATCATTCTGTGAGTACTCCATCAGGTGACAGGGATTTATTTTGTGATTTGTAAATGTTGATTTGTGGCTATTTATATATATATACAAGTTTCCACTCATCATTCTTGAGATGTTTCAGCAGCTTCATTGGAGTTCACCTGTGTTCAATTCAGTAGATTGGACATGATCTGAAAAGGCGTACACCTGTCTATATAAGCTCCCAGGGTTGACAGTGCATGTCAAAGCACAAACCAAGCATGAAGGCAAAGGAATTGTCTGTAGATCTCCGAGACAGGATTTAGGCACAAGGCTGGGGAAGGTTACAGAAACATTTCTGCTGCTCTGAAAGTTCTAATGAGCACAGCGGCCTCCATCATCCGTAAGTGGAAGATGTTTGGAACCACCAGGATTCCTCCTAGAGTTGGCCGGCCATCCAAGCTGAGTGATCAGGGGAGAAGGGCCTTAGTCAGGGAGGTGTTTAATAACCCGATGGTCACTCTGTCTGAGCTCCAGCGTTCTTCTGTGGAGAGAAGGGAACCTTACAGAAGGACAACCATCTGTGCAGCAATCCACCAATCAGGCCTGTATGGTAGAGTGGCCAGACGGAAGCCACCCCCTTCCTGGAATTTGCCAAAATGCATCTGAAGGACTCTCAGACCATAAGAAGCAAAACCCTCTGGTCTGATGAGACTAAAATCGAACTCTTTGGAGTGAATGCCAGGCGTTATGTCCGGAGAAAACGCGGCACCGCTCATCACCAGGCTAATATCTTTTTGAAACAGCCCATTTTAGGCTTTGATTCAAATCGTGCCATTTTGGTCAATTGAAATGAGATTGTGCTCTGTTCAAAAGAGGGTGGAGCTACAAACACCTGTGCATCAGCATAATGGTAACAAGACTAATGCTACCTCGGTGAAAATCTGAGAACATAGGCGTAGAAGGCAGTCCATGGAGACCAGTGTTCATCCTAAAACTCACTTTAAGAGTTTACACTTAGCTGTAAATCAATAAAGCGTAATTGTCATGTTGTCTCGGGAGAGAGCCCTGAGCTCGTAATATCCTTGAGCCCGGGGCTCCGTCCTGTTAGAAGGGCGAGAGGGGAGTTCGAGCTCAGGTAGCTCTCGAGAACTCCCCTGCTTGTCGCCGTGTGAAAAGTGTTAACTAAGGTTGTCTTGGGTGACCATTTGGTTTAGTCGATTAGCTATGGTTTATGTTTTTGGACGGTGGCAGGAAACCGGGGAACCTAGAGGAAACCCACGCGAACACTGGGAGAACATGGAAACTCCGCACAGAAACGCCAACCAGCCCGATAGGAGGTTGGAACAGTGGTTTTCTTGCTGTGAGGTAACATTGTTAGCCACTGGAAGGGTGGAAGTAGGGGTGTAAGTGGGAGGGGGGGGGGGTATTTATAAATAAATGGTTATTTAAAATGCTTCCGTAATCATCTAATAGGGCAGATTACGGATCTAATGAGGTGCCTCGTAATCTTGTAACGGCGGCCGGTTGCTTCTCACTCAGGGCTGTTTATGCTAATAAGGGAGATATGGTCATTAGTGGGCCTGGCTTACCCCCTCTGATGAAACGTATAATGGGAGAATGCCAAAGTGTTTCTTGTTTTTATCAAGTCTGATTATAAAAACATGAATGGATTAAACCATTAGAGGCTGGCGATATGCACACAACGTTCCCCCACAACCATGTTTGAACCTCTTAAAAAGGGATTTTTGCATGATAGGTCTCCATTAATGGTTGCTTTTTTGTGTTCAGGTCCGGAGAGTGGCTCGTATGAAGCGCAGTCGTGCGAAAGCGACACCGCCGGTGGAAGTCCGGCATGCGGGTTTCACCAGCAGCTCACGTGGGATCGCTATCAGCCCAGTCAGTGGTGCACACTCCACAACAGCAGATCTGAAACACTGTAAGACCCTTAACACTGCGTACAAAGGTTTAGATCGGGGTGTCCAAACTTTTTCGCATTAAGGGCCAAAAACCAAATATCATTGAGAGCTGTGGGCCTAGGGCAGGGGTGGGCAAACTCGGTCCTGGAGG